GTACATACGTACATACGTACATACGTACATACGTACATACGTACATACGTACATACGTACATACGTACATACGTACATACGTACATACGTACATACGTACATACGTACATACGTACATACGTACATACGTACATACGTACATACATACATACATACATACATACATACATACATACATACATACATACATACATACATACATACATACATACATACATACATACATACATACATACATACATACATACATACATACATACATACATACATACATACATACATACATACATACATACATACATACATACATACATACATACATACATACATACATACATACATACATACATACATACATACATACATACATACATACATACATACATACATACGTACATACGTACGTAACGTACATGCGTACATACGTACATACGTACATACGTACATACGTACATACGTACATACGTACATACGTACATACGTACATACGTACATACGTACATACGTACATACGTACATACGTACATACGTACATACGTACATACGTACATACGTACATACGTACATACATACATACGTACATACATACATACGTACATACATACATACATACATACGTACATACATACATACATACATACATACATACATACATACATACATACATACATACATACATACATACATACATACATCGCTAAAAATATCTTGTGTGTGTTGCCAGGGGCACAAATCTCGTGTACAAATATACGAATCATCAGTGCGGACACCAATTACTTCCCACGACTGGTCCCTGAAGCACTTCGGATCACCTCAATCGAGAAGAAGGAACAGATTTCCAGAACTCAGTGCTTAGAGGGCTATACTTTTGGCATCAAAGGTCCGGGTGTTTGGGTCAGTGGTGGATGCAGTGGGGTTTTCTATGTCTGCTACGAACCAGGTACGGTAAAGTAGTACTGACACTCGTTGTCCTTTTTTTAATGATGTGCAACATGTGCAGCGGCACAGCGCAGCACAATTTTTGGGGACGATAAAATTATGAGGACAGCAAACAAACAAACAAACAGTAAAGAAAAGAAAAATTAAAAAAAAAAAAAGGCTGACTTAATTTCAGGCTTCTATCGCATTTCTTGTATTTATTATTATTTTTATTTTATTTGTTTGTTTAAAACCTTCTGATTATTTCCTGTTTGTTTACCAGTGCTGACATTAAACAGAAGCTACCAATGCTGCAGCTTATTGTTCACCATCTATAAGGGCCTCGATAATTTTCTTTATCTCTGAGTGGGTGCCAGCATTCCCCCCCCCCACCCCCAAAAAGAGGGGGGGGGGGTGAGGCAAAACAAGAAAAGACACACTGCATTTTGTAGGAGTCTAATGATTGGAGGCTTTCTTCGAAGTCGGAGTGCATCTGCCCGAGCAACAAGAAGCAACCAACTGCACACAAATAAACCGGTAAAATGAATGTACACGCAAAACTCAGGCCTTGGCTCAAGGCCAAAGTCCAGATGAACGAACAACAAGGACTTTGCGCCGGAGCTTACAGCCGGTGAACAAAGAAGAAGTATCCCTTTCTTCACAATGCATTTTTTCTTTTAATAAAGCCTTCAAGTGGATTATATAATAATATTCCTCTGATTCAGCAGACATCTTTTATTATTTTCAGTGCTAACAATTAAGCGAAATCCAAAGGTCACCGGACAGTCTAATATTTCGGGGGGTGGTTAATATGCTGCATGCAGTGGTAGGACCTGGGGTTAGGGCCTGTTCTAGATGTTTTGGTGCCGTTAAAAGCATCAGAAAGCCAGGAAACCCAGTCTCAATACTCTCTAAAATGTTGGACTGTCCTGGGACGTCATCTGTGGTAGGTTATTGCGAAAAAACCGTTTTCAAAGATTAGCTAATGTAATTTAAAACCGATATCTTATTTTATGCTATCACAATCGACGTCTGTGCACATCTGGAATCCTCACGCACGTATAGTCCTCCCATGCATCAGCCACTCCAAGGCACTTTTACTGATTGTTCCTATGAGGTGTAGGTTATAATATCTCTTGTATTTCCCTGGAAGACCGCAAAGACGTGCTTAACCAAGCTTAGCTGCTTGGTCACGCTGTCGTGTTAGCGTCAGACAAACGCCATTATCCCTCGGCCTAGTGTATAAAGTGTTGATGATTCTGTCCCTCGCTTCTGTAGTTCCGGCATAATATGCGGGGATGACTATCGCCCAAGCTTTTTTACTTGGATTGATTTTTGAGGTACTAGCACGCCTGTTGAGTCTCCTTCTACCACACTCTCCCCTTCTCCTTCTGTACCTTGCAAATGCTGCTCCATCTGATCTCAGAACCGACGCACGATCTCTGTAGCTCCGGTGAGGATCGAGTTTAAAACAGTAGGGCCTCGGGGTTTATGCATCTTAGGGCCTCATCAAGTTGAATTCTGGCCCTGGTGCTGACCATGCATTTTTCTTATCAGAATTGTGTGTCAGGCCTTAAGAAAGAAAATAGGGGCTTTTGAGCTGAAAGGCTATAGAAAGATTCTCCGAATATCTTCGACAAAGAAAAGGAGAAATACTGACATCTTGAAAGATCTGAACATCAAGGAAGATTGACTAATAAACAGCATCCTGTCTCGGAAGCTGAAATATTTTGGTCATATCAAGCGCCACGACAGAGTGGAAAAAATTATAGCAGAAGGCATGGTATCAGGAAGTAGAGACAGGGGCCGACCGACACGAAGACGGGCAAGGGCATAAGTGACTCCTTGAGTATGAAAGTACATGAGGCTGGAGAACTGGCGAGAGACCGAGCTTCTTTCAGGCTGACTGTTATAAGAGCGACGTTTTGCAAATGACCTGCTACATGATGATGACGATGATTGTGTGTTCAGATAACGTTAAATAGTTCAGTGCCGTTTAAAATTAAAGTGAATAATTTCAAAACTTATTGTTTGGTGGTATTCGAGAAACTTGAAGCTGAAGTTTAGCGTAGGGAAGAGGAGATGTAAATTAAATGACAGCACAGAGGCGTCATACATTCTAAAAATGGACTACTTCATAGTTATCAGTACAGACAGGTGGGCTAGAAACGTGAGACTAAGTACCGCCCCCGTCAGCGTCTGTGGCTTAGATGTTGCGAACGCGCTTCGTAATACCGGTGTAACGGGTTCAATTAAAGCTGCGGAAGATTTGTCTTGCGTTGGTTGAAGAGCTGACCATTTAGAAGCAATGGCAAACTACTGAACGTAACATTTGCCTAGAAAAACTACAACAGCTAAATGATGGAGTTGGTTCTGCAACGTCCTGTAAAGGATACGCAACTAACTTTTTTAAGTACCGCCCTACGCCTCCCGCAACCATACGTTTTTCTAAGTATTTGTCAGTACATATGATATTATTTCATATTTATCTTTTATACTTTTTGCCGTTTAGCAGATAATAATATTTATTATTACTGTGAACTTAAACAAACTTTTTGACTAATGCTCCTAGAAAAGTATAAGGAGGGAGGGAATCAGCAAACATACTTGTTGGGGAGGCAGTATGTCTATTCTTATTTTCCTCTCAATGTGCCACAGACCTCTAGGGGGAAGAGCTAAGTCCAACACCCTCTTCCCACACTTCTCTCCCGCCCCTGGAAAATCAGCAATAAGTGGCACACTCTCAACAATATATAGACATTTTTGTTTTAAAGTATTTGTTTAAACATTTCAAAGTATTTCCCAAAACAGGTTATTGGGCAATCCGAGAGTTCCTGGGGAAAGTCACCTGCTACGAAGAAGGAGGTTTAGTATTATGATTAGATTTAGTCGGTACTCATTTCACACTGTTACACCGCCATAAAGTTGGACTTTCCCCTGGAACTCTCAGATTTCCCGAGATGGGGGGAGGGGGGGGGGGAGTGGGATAAAATAATAATACAAAATAAAGAACCCTAGAATGTTTTTTGTATCTGCCATTCAATACACAACCACAATAGTTTTATTAGTGTGTATTTTTGCAAGGCTCAAGTCCTTTGAGTGCCCTCGTGCGATCGTTGCTTTGCTAAAATCAGTAGTCTCGTTAAAACAGCAACACTCTGGTGTTGTGGTCGATTTGATGTTGTGGTCCACTCTGGTGTTGTGGTCCACTCTGGTGTTGTGGTCCACTCTGGTGTTGTGGTCCACTCTGATGTTGTGGTCCACTCTGGTGTTGTGGTCCACTCTGGTGTTGTGGTCCACTCTGATGTTGTGGTCCACTCTGGTGTTGTGGTCCACTTTGGTGTTGTGGTCCACTCTGGTGTTGTGGTGCTGGCCCTCTGACTTCACTAAATGTTAGTCAAAGTCTCAGTTCTGGGACCCCGATTTGCGGGAAAAATATACCCACGCACCTCCCCCTCACCTTTCCTTTCCCACCAAGCATGTCGTAAAAAGCGACTAGTTAGAAGGTTTGATGAAACTTGATGTGTTGGGATGAAATGTGCGGCCTAGCTATAATCCACATAACAATGTAACAACCGTCTTTTGAAGGGGAAACCAAGAAAAAAAAAGAAGCACAAGAAAATAAGAAGAAAAAGAAGAAGAAGAAGAAGAAGAAGAAGAAGAAGAAGAAGAAGAAGAAGAAGAAGAAGAAGAAGAAGAAGAAGAAGAAGAAGAAGAAGAAGAAGAAGAAGAAGAAGAAGAAAAAGAAGATGATCATGATGATGATGATGATGAAGATGATGGTGATAATGAGATTATGACGATGATGATAAACTAAATCTTTTAAAAATTAATCTATTTTTCTACTGTAACGAATAATTAAATACATTCTTTGCCTCGCACCAGGATACACAAAAACCATCAAATGTGAAAGCAACAAATTCCGAGACGCCTACTGCCAAGTTGGCGGAGTCATGCGTTTGTTGACACTCGCCTTGCAAATATCTGGATCTGCTTGCACTGAAGGGCACTCTTATTCAGATCTGGGCAGCGTCATCAAGGTTAGCAACGGATGCAGAGCTTATTTTTGGGCGGGTCTCTAAATCCCATTTGGAAAAGAAAGTTCTAATGATAACCATTGATGTGTGTAATCTTCATTGTAGATTGCAGTTTTCATTCATTATAATTTGTAACAGTGTTTTGGGCAGCACAAATACAGTGATACCTCGGAATTCGAACGCTTCAAAATTTGAACAACCTGGAATACGAACACAATTTTCAAGTAACTTTTGTTTCGGTACATAACGTCGCCTATGGGTCTCAGTGAGCAAAGTTGTCAGGCCGTTTGCCTTGCGCTCTGAAGGACTTGGGTTTTTTCACGGCGGCGCCATTTAGTTCACGGGTGTAATTTATACGGAGATCCCTGGGGATCGTCGCTGGAACAACAGAGATAGAGCTTTATGCAACGCTTTCGGCGGGCAGCTAGCTGCTCTGAGGGGAGAGAGACTGGGCCATGTGAGATAAAACCCGGTGCAATGAAGTCGACCCTCTCACCTTTACATTATAACACCGCCTTGAACACCGAAAGCCTTGCACGATCCATTCACGGGTAGGGCTGCAAATTAATTGTTATTAAAACCCAAGTTAAGCTGACCCCACAAAATCCAGCAATACATAAGCAAAGGACAAACCCTAAGAATGATAAAAAGTACACATTTGATAGTTACGAAACGAAAGATTTACCCCCTTTTATACAAGGATTTTTTTTTTAAACCAAGATTCCAAAATGTGAACCCAAGCCGTCAAATCACGGCCAGCTTCAGACATAAGGCCATACAGCTGAAACGGGAATTCCCGTTTTTTGTGAGGCTGGCATGCCCCGTCGGTGGTAACAATTGTTACTGAGTAAATTTGTACACAAATTGAACTACAGTTTGATTAATTTGCAACATGTGTTATTAAATGTGTTATCTTAAATAAATATTTTCAACATAACAATGTAACAACCGCCTTTTAAAGGGGAAACCAAGAAGAAAAGAAGCACCAGAAAATAAGAAGAAGAAGAAGAAGAAGGAGAAGAAGAAAAAAAAAGAAGAAGAAGAAAATGAAAAAAAAAAACCTGAGTAAAAATATGACTATTCGTATGTAAAGTTTTAAAAAAAAAAACACTCGTGTATCTTGGAATATTTCGCGGCGCCCCTGTGAAGAGGTCGCGGCTTCCCGGGGCGCACAGTTTGGGAATCACTGATTTAGGGAATTAGTTCTGATTGTGTTTATATATTTATTATTAATATTATCATTATTATTGTGGGGGTCCGTGGCTTAGGTGTTGCGAACGCGCTTCGTAATGCAGAGGTGCCGGGATCGATCCCAGTTGCTGACCTTCCTATGGTTTCTACAGTGGTATCGAGAAGCCGACCGTCTAGCAAGCAATGACAAACTACTGAATATAAATTTGCTCAGAAAAACCGCAACAGTCAAAAAATGCTGGGGTTGGTTCTGCAACGCCCTGTAAAGGATGCGCAACTAACTTTTATTAATAATATTATTATTTACTATTTATAAGGTTGTTGGTCTTTTTTTTTTAAATTAAAATTTGATCATCGTTTTTATTTTTTTTTTATTTGCAAATGAACTGTATTTAATCAAATAAATCTGTACATTTCAGTTTGAGTTCCGGAACAAATTAATTTTGTTTCCATAATTTTCAAAATGAAAAAATGCCTAAAAGTCGGAGGATTCGGAATTTGATGGCCGTCTCAGAAAATTATGTTTGAATTCCTATGTACTATTCTACTTTTAATCGCACTTTTTGGTTTTTAAATGTGTATCAATGGGCTGCGGGATATACTGAGGATGGGATTTGAGCACTTATGGACTGATTAAGTCGATGTGCAAAAAGGATAATATGTCGACTAACTAACTAGCTAACTAACTAGCTAACTAACTAGCTAACTAACTAGCTAACTAACTAGCTAACTAACTAGAGTAGAGCTACTGCCCCTCCTGGTTGTTATTAGGAGGCTGCGAGGTTTCGAGGCATGGTGTCCGCCTCAAGGTTCCGGGTTCAATTCCCGATAAGTGCTCGGATTTTTTCACTTGGACTTGAACTTCTAGTAATTCCCCCCTGGTCTCTAGGTAGTGAGATGAGACGCCCGTTTAAAAAAAAAATCAATTGGCATTTGAAAATCGAAAAGAGTAGCCTAACGGCGTTACCCGGGCAAAATTTAATGTTAAAAATGTACCCAAAGTATTTCAGGATCCTCGCCGGTGCTACATAGCCTGTGCATTGTGCTAAACCTATTCGGACTCACTTGGGTTAGAAAAAGAACGGAGCACTTATGGGTTACTACCCGTGTGCCATGATGTTAATCCGTTGTTCAAACTTCAAACCAACTCACACACATTTCTAAGGGTGACGGTAAATAAGTCAGGGCTCGATTTCTTCCCTATCCACAATTATACTCAACACATTTCTCGTTTCTTTATATACATAATATGTAGCAAATTACTCATGGCCTATTTATTAAACATGCTAATGTATTTTGACACTGCCTGCTTTGTTGATAATTAAACTTTTGAAATCTTTCTCTCGGATTAAATTGTTGCTTGTGAAAATTAAACGTCTGATTTCTCTATCAGGAGTTTCAGCATCAGCATCATCACCACTAACACTACAACCACGAAGACCATCATTACCAACACCACCATCATAACTACCACCATCACTTCCAAATCTTCTTCATAACGTTCATACTTAGGCCGTGTTCCGGGACTTGAGTTTTTCTTGCACATCTCTTTTACAGATTTGATTTATTTGTGTGCGTTGGCGTCTGTGGCTTAGGCGTTGCGAGCCCGCTTCGTAATGCCGAGATGCCAAGATCGATCCTAGTTGTAGGCGGTTAGACAGCAGACCGCCTTGTGTTGGTGTAGACAGTAGGCGTTGCGAGAGCGTATTGCGACAAGCATGTCGTAAAAGCCGACTAATAAGGAGTTTCTTTCAAAGTCAAATTGCATCCCACTAAGAGACAAGAAACCACTAACCTGCACACAATGAAAACAGATCTGTAACACGAATGATCACACAAAGTCGAAAAGTATACGACAAAGTAGAACTTTCAGCCGGGGCTTACAGGCAGTACACGGGATAAAGAAGAAGAAGAAGAAGAAGAAGAAGAAGAAGAAGAAGAAGAAGAAGAAGAAGAAGAAGAAGAAGAAGAAGAAGAAGAAGAAGAAGAAGAAGAAGAAGAAGAAGAAGAAAAGAAGAAGAAGAAGAAGAAGAAGAAGAAGAAGAAGAAGAAGAAGAAGAAGAAGAAGAAGAAGAAGAAGAAGAAGAAGAAGAAGAAGAAGAAGAAGAAGAAGAAGAAGATCAAGAACAAGAAGAAGAACAAGAACAAGAAGAAGAACAAGAACAAGAACAACAACAAGAACAAGAACAAGAACAAGAAGGTACTGAAACTTGTAGAACTATAAGAAGGGGCATGGTCTTTTCCAGGATGTCACCGACGAACGGCAGAAGCAGTTGGCAGTTTGTGGTTTTACGAGGGAATTCTACATTCTAAGCTTACTAAAATGTAGCATCAAAGCACGCCTTCCGCTCAACAAAACTGTTGTGGCGGCTTTTAGTTTAATAGTTGCTGTTAAGTCGTCCCCTGTGGGGTGCAATTGTTTTTTCTATTTTGAAGCTCCAACTTGGCTTTTTCCGGAGGCCCTGAATATAGCTTAGCCATAGATATGGCCTAACGGCTGAAAGGGGGTTCTGGGATCTCTACCCAGGTGATCCTCATTCGCATAGTGGCACTTTGTGTCACCGGGTATTTATAGCTTGTGTCATATCCTGGTGGGGTACAACTACCTACCTACCTACCTACCTACCTATCTATTTTCTAGTTTAATTAATTAATGCCCCTGAGCAACAACTTTAATTTCTTTCAGTTCACACTAATGGTAATTTCCTTTTGTCTCTGGGTAGGAAGATTAGACGCCCATGTGTATTGTTGTGCACATTTTAAAAAATCCCCCCTGCAGTTGAAAATCGGAAAGAATAGCCTAACGGTGGTGCCAGGGAAAAATTTGGAGTTATAAATCAACCCAAAATATTTCAGGATACTCTCCGCTGCTATGGAGTTCGTGCACTGTGCTGAGATTGTTCAGACTCAGATTTGAGTTTGAAGTACAACGGAGCACCTATGGGTAGTCCTTGTACCATGATGTTGATCGTTGTTCAAAACTTAAACTCATGCACACCCAATCACCTGTTGTATTTTTTTTTTTCAAAGGTTGAATGCAATGTCAATATTCTAAAATACAGATGCAAAATTTCTGAGGACCGGCTGGCCGAACTGGCAAACCTGGAACAAGACAAAAAGATTTTTGTTATAGCCGTCCCCATGTGGAATGCATTTTAGTTATTTTGAAGCCCCTTTTGTCGGGGACCCTAAATATAGCAGGGCCTTAAATATTTCTTAATGACTGAACGAGATTTCCACGGGTGATCCTCATCCGCATGGTGGCACTTTGTGGAGACGGCAGCAGAGCGAGAAGCGGAACCTACTTACTACTACTACTACTACTACAACTACTGCTGGTTAATACCACTACTTTTACTTAATACTACTACTACTACTTAATACTACTACTACTTACTACTACTTAATATTACTGCTACTTACTACTATTACTGCTTAATACTATTACTACTTACTACTACTACTAAACCTACTACTAATACTTAATACTATTACTACTTACTACTATTACTACTTACTACTACTACTACTTACTACTATTACTACTTACTACTATTACTACTTAATACTATTACTACTTACTACTACTACTACTAAAACTACTACAACTAAAACTACTTCTTACTACTACTATTTCTTAATACTACAACTACTTAATACTACAACTACTTACTAATATTACTACTTACTACTACTACTACTTACTACTACTACTAATTATTCCTACTAATACTTACTACTACTACTACTACTACTACTACTACTACTACTACTACTACTACTACTACTACTACTACTACTACTAAAACTACTACAACTAAAACTACTTCTTAATACTACAACTACTTACTACT